ATATATATATATATATATTAGACAAGTACAGAAATATAAAGAAGATAACTACAAAGATGGCATGCAAATAGTATACTTCTGGAGATGTGGGTTAATATGTTCATAATATTGCCCCCTGTATTACTAATATTGACAATCAGCAATAAATGGAAAATAGTTGGTAATATCAGAATTCTCTAACTATTAAATGATTAATTAAATAAATAAATAAATACAATTTAAATACATACATACATAAAAATTAAGCACATTAACTTTTGTCCTTACCTTGGCAGTTTCATTGGTCCAGTCAAACTCAGAATCATAATATCCCAAAAAGAGCACATCTCCCTTGATCTCAGAATCTTTAATTACAGACATGGAATATATATATATTTTTAAAAAGCCTTGAATAGTGCAAATACACATTATAGACTATACCTGCTAAACTAAAACTCCAAAATGCCATTTTTTCCCTATTAAAATATCATGGCTATACCAGGCTGTACACCAATATACTACAACTCCATTAGACATGGGAAAACATAATTTAGACATCATTTTTAATAATGACACATGACATAAATGATTTAACACACCTTCTAAGTGGTATTGCCTGATGTGCTGGCCATAGCAGAACTCATAAGTCCACCAGTCTTTGGTCTAAAAACAGAACAAAATAAACATGTTGTATGTCAAATTGCAATGATTTTATATCTAATCCACACAATCATGGCAACTCCAAAGGTAATTTTGCCAGTGCAAGTGGTTGTGTATATTCAGTATTTGTGTATATTCCAGTGTGTGTAAGTCACTGTGACATAGAACTAGAGGTGATGACAACCTTAACCAGGCATGGTGCGGTTTGCATGGGCTTGAGGAGATCAGGGACTCCTGGGCCACTGTAGCCTTGAACATCAGGTTCTGACACCGGGTCCTGATGGAAACGCACTGCCTGAGCTGGCAAACGACACTCATACAGCTGCTTGTATTTGTTAGAGACCAACATCACATCTTCCATCTAAAACAGGAACAGAAAGAAGGTGACAGAAACAGAGAAAATGAATTAGAAAAAGAGAACCAGGGAAAGGTTGCGATACAGTTTACACCACTATGCTGATTTTTACCGAACTTCATATCGTTATAAATGTGTAAAATCTATAGCATACAGTACCTGTGGAGGCACAGTTTAACATTTTGTTTGACACATAGCTACTTCCCCACTCGTTACTTCACGAGCTATTCTGCATTGGACAAATAGACACTTAGTATGAAACGATGTCACCTAGGCAAGCTGTTTTAATGTCTGATAAGTCAAGCTGTGCATAAAGCTAACAGCTGTCTGTAGCAAATAAACATGCCTAGCTAACTGCATCCCTGGCCAAAACAACCTTACCTGTCCCATAATAACAGGATCGGGCAGAATCTGTATCCCATATTTCATTTCATTTAATTCTTCTAAATTCAAAAAAGCAAGGACGGACAGGAGACATGTTAAGAAAAAAACATATAATCCTCTTAACCACTTAATCAAGGAGGAAGCCATAGTTCTCTCATATCGCAAACTAGCGTTCTTCTTCTTCTTCTTTGAGGTTTAACGGCGGCTTGCATCCAAGAGCGTTGCATTACCGCCACCTTCTGGATTATTCTCCTGCAATGTTATTCCATTTTATTTCCTCCAGCTTGTTTTCCACAATCATATTTTCCTCATCAAACCCGTTCTACTTAAGAAATTACAAATATTTTTCCTGCTTTGTCTAATCACCCCACTTTGCAGTATATCTTTAATACCTGTCCCTACCAACCCATCTCTTCTTAATTCTTCCATCATATTTCTCCTCTGATCTTCATAACTTCTGCAACTTAAAAGAACATGTTCTATGGTTTCTAATGTCTGACAATATTCACAAAAACCAGTAGGATGCTTCCCTATAATGTGTAATGTACTATTTAAATTACTGTGTCCTATTCTTAATCTTGTCATCACTATTTCTTCTCTCCTAGTCCCTCCCCAATTCCTCTCTGTACCAACTTTATTTTGAATGGCATACAAATGTCTTCCTTTAGCTTCCCTGTCCCACTGCCGTTGCCATTCTCTCATGGCTTCTTTCCAAACTATACTTTTCCCTTCAGATTTTGACATCTTTATATGTACTTCAATATTCTCTTTTTTAATTGCTTGTTTAGCTAATTTATCCACTCTCTCATTGCCCAAAATGCCTATATGAGCTGGGGTCCAAATCAGTCGAATCTCATTACATTTTTCCTTTACTCTTGTATAGTGCTGGGCGGTATGACCACAAATTTATATCACGGTATTTTTCAAAATTATACCGGTTTCACGGTACATGACGGTATTATCATCACCCCCTCTCCCCATAGCATGTCATATGCTTTTTCAACATCAAAAAATACTGCTACTACCGTCTCTTTATTTATTTGAGCTTTTCTTATTTCATCTTCCAAACATAACACTGCATCCATAGTACCCCTTCCTCTCCTAAATCCACTTTGGCATTCATTCACCATACCTTGTTTTTCCATAATATATATTAATCTCCCATTTACCATTCTTTCCATTAGCTTACAGATATGAGAAGTCAGGGCAATGGGTCTATAATTCGTTGGCTTACTAGAATCTTTCCCCGGTTTTCTTATTGGAACAATAACTGCTTCCTTCCAGCTCTTTGGCACTCTTCCTTCTTCCCACACTTTATTGTATAGCATCAATAACTTATTCTTCCCCTCCTCACTTAACTTCTTCAACATGCTATAACATACTTCATCTTTCCCTGGTGCAGTCTTCCCAGTTTTTGCCAATGCTCTATTTAATTCTCCCATATTAAATGGTACATTTTGTTCACCTTCATCATTTCCCATCACCCTCAGTGCCTCCAAATTTTCAGATCTAGTTTCCTCTCTGCCTCTCCTCCCTTCTTCAGATAAATTATTTGAACTGTGCACATTAACAAATGTATTTACTAGCATTTCAGCCTTTTCCTTATTTGTCACTGCGATCTCGTTTCCATTACACAATACCGGGTAATTCCAATCTCTCCTCTCCCCACCCATCTTTTTAATCATTGTCCACACTTCTCCTATCTGAGTTGTGTTCCCAATTGAGCTGCAGTAGCAAACTAGCGTTGTCAAATGATTTGCTATTTGGTGCATGTCAATGTGCGCCAAGGAACGTGGATTGGACAACGTTGTTCAACGCCGACACGTGATTGGATATCATCAACGTCTGTCAAGTTTAGAACGTGTATTGATTGGTTCACGTGCGGTAATAGCCACCCATCATCCACGAAAATGACTTCTATTGGACCCGCCGAGTATTTGCAAAGTAATGTAATGCCTCGGACTCATGGGGTCGCTGTGGATCATTTGAAAACGCCTACGTTGTGTTCGCAACATTTTCAGGTTAAAGGAATCAAAAGAATCTATGAGAGAAATAAACTGCCAATATATAAAGAAAAGCAGGGTCGCACTTTATTTTAAGGTCCAATTCTCGCTATTAACAAACCATTAATTACGACTTTTGCCTCAATAAACTCCTAATTTGCTACATTGTCATTGTGATAATTTATATTGAGAAAATAATTAATGTAAGTCTCAGCAAAAGTAAACAAACCAGATAGCAAGATGACATTTATGCAATGTTGAGATTTCACCAAAAGCATCATTTTGGTTGAGATTTCAGTTCTTCAGTGTTTTCAAAAATTCTATTTGCAAAGTGCACTCTCAGGGGAAAAAAAGGTTGGATCAACATGAAGGCTGGAGATGCCAAATCATGCCCTTCGCTTGCGAGAGAATGTCTTTCCTCAGTGGTATCGGCCAACGGGCTGCCGATAGCAGCTGAATCAACTCGGGGAACCACATCTGATTCCTCCAGGGTGGGGCCACCAAGAGGACTGAGCATCTGACTTCCCTGACCAGTCTGATGACCTGAGGAAGGGCATCTCGCTGTTTCAAAAAATAAATTGGGCAGTGAAAGTTGTCTTCTGAGACAAAGAGGTCCACCTCTGCCCTGCCGAAGTCAGACCAGATCATTTGAACTGTTTGGGGATGTAATCTCCATTCTCCTGGAGCCACACTGTCCCTGGACAGCATGTCTGCCCCTTGATTCAGTCTGTCTGGCACATGAACTGCTCTCAGTGAGAGGAGTTTGCCTTGTGCCCATAAAAAGAGGCATTGAGCCAACCTGTGAAGGGAGCGTAACCTGAGACCGCCTTGGTGATTGATAAAGGCTACCACCGTCATGTTGTCCAAACAAACCAGGACATGGTGCCCCCTTAAGGCTGGCAGGAAGGTTTCAGGGCTAGAAAAACCGCCATCATCTTGAGGCAGTGATGTGTAAGTGTTGCTCCAGGTTTGACCAGGAGCCTAACGCCGGTCTGCCCTCGTACAGAGCTTCCCAACCCGAGTTGGAGGCATCCTTTGTGACCACCTTCCTTCTGGAGGTCAGTCCCAATGGGATGCCAGATTGAAACAGGTGAGGAGAAGTTTTCCAAGGGGCCACAGCTCTGATGCAGCGGTGGGTTACCCTGAGCTGAAAACATCCCAGGCGCCAAGCCTGAGACGGGACATGCATTTTGAGCTATACATGGGCAAGCACTATACAAATAAATGTGAATTGAATTGAATCGAATCTAGCTGATGCTTCCTCATTAGATGGAAAACAACTGCATCCTATGCAGATATCTTGTTTGCTGAATCATTTGACATACATGAATTCTCTGGCACAATTTTAAACATGGTGCATCTACTTTTATTTTCTCTGTTCCTTTGTTTTTCTGGCTTGTTTTTTTATTTGTATTGTTACTCACTTGAATTAAATATGTTAATTTTAGTTATAGAGTGTTTGAATAAATCATGCATTTTACTATGAGGAATGCAAGAAGTATTTTCATGTAGACAGAAGTTTCAAAATCATTACCTGAATAGCTAGAACACTTCGATTTCATCTGAAACAAACATATCGTCTCAGGTTACTTATATAACCATGGTTCCCTGAGTAGGGAACGAGACACTGCGTCCTCTAGGGGTCGCTATGGGGAATGCCTCGTCATGACCCGTGTCTGAAGCATACATTGAAAAAACACCAACTCGTTGGCCGGCGACAGCCATGACGCAAACGAGAGCGGAGCTTTTTTCCTTGGAAAAAACGCTCGCAGTGTACGCCGATTGCCCCCTCGGAGACATCATGTGCGTGCTCTTTGCCCAAACAAACAACGCATAGATCGTGTGTGTCATCAGATGTTAAACAACGTCAACACGGATGCACACATCCTAAAATGCTTTGCTAGTGCTCGCCATAATGAGATAAATAGAGATCGCTCTTACCACAGCAAAGCACGGTTCATACAAAACAGTCAATGAAGACGAAGAAGTGAATGATGTATGCTCCCGGCGCCTATTTATACTATAGTCGCACCGGTAGTGACGTCATGGCTGTCACCGGCCAACGAGTTGGTGTTTTTTCAATGTATGCTTCAGACACGGGTCACGACGAGGCGTTCCCCATAGCGACCCCTAGAGGACGCAGTTCGAAGTTCCCATGAAAGGGAAGCCTATTTCGGATGAAAACATATAGGCCTAGCTCTTCTCATTGAAGAGGCGTCACATGTCACACGACAAGATTTAGGCTATTAATTTTTTATTAATCTTATTATTATTTTTACATTTCCCTTGCCTCTCTGAAAGATGATGTCTGTCAATAAAAGGGTGCATTGTCTATTATTAATGTTCATAATCATATAAATTATGTTGCTTTTTACTACGGGGCTGCTGAATGTTTGAATCTGATTGGTTGACGAACGTTCTAAGGTGAACACTCTTCTTCTTGTGGTGATGAGCGGCAGGCGTGAGCGCGTGTTGTGAAGCTGCATCACTCTCTCCTCCTCTCTCCTCTCATATGAGCGCCTTTCAGCGCGCCGCAGCCCTACATCGCTATTCACAGAAGGGGTAGCCCGACTCCTCTCTGCTCTCCTCCATTCTGTCTCAGAGGTGGATGCCATGCCATCGGATTTTCTCCATTAATCAGCTGTTTGCGTTCACCTGACAAGCGCGTCCGGGGGTATTTTAAGGGTTGGAGATCCCTCTTGGTGGCGACATTACAGGTAAGATTTTTTTGAACATGTTCGGTCGCCGATCCGCCCTGTTGTGACTGGCACTGATATAATTTTTTTCCCAGTCATTTACGGCATATTTGTTTGTTTCCGCTGCACGATTGAGTGAATATAATTAAATATGCACCGCTAAATTAATTGATCGCCACTCACTCTCTGGTATTTGAATAGAATAGAAGGGATTTGGTTTCTTAGATCGCCTACATTTCTAATGGTGTTATGGCTCTGCATTGCCTGATGGAATTTCTGTGCATGATGTGACATATGGCGACAACAGGCCAAGGGGCTTTCGGTACCTCTCTGTATTGCTGTACACTGAGGCGGCAGAATGGGCGTTAAACAGTGGCAATGATCGCCAGTTATCAAGTCCCTTAATGGCTATTGATTATTTGCCATGGCTTTGAACGGCTTCTGTCTCGAAGGCCAGCGGTGCATGCTGTCAGCTGTGCGGCCTGTGTGAGGTAGGCTATATAGTTTACAGGGGGCTGGGAATATTAGCCTTCTGTATAGACTATACCACATCAGTATTAGGAGGGAAGTCGCATCCATTGGGCTTATACACTCTACGGGGCTGCGCATGGTTTTTATCTCCATAACCTTGGATAAAGTGCTGTAGGTGCAATTAAGCGAATGGTTATTCGTTGCGTTTAGTTGTTGTCGTGGCAATTTTGCTTTTCCCAATAAAGGTATGAGACAAAAGTCTTTTAAATATTTATTTTCTTGCAAGAAAAGTTCAACAGTCATCCAAGTTGACTGCAGAGTGCGACCAAGAGGAAAAACCCAAACTCAACATTTATATCGCAAGCCGTTTTAGCATTTAAATGTTTGTTTTGACTATCCATAAATATAATTTAAGATAGGAACAATTGTATTTTGACGAGTCATAATTATAATTCGACTAGTCATATCTTAATTCCAATTACGACGAGTCAAAATTGCAGAATAGATATCTGGAATTGGAATTTTGACTAGTCAAAAGTAAATTATGACTAGTACAGCAAGTAGTATTTAATGCTAAAACGGCTTGCCATACATTTATACCTTGATCAAATGTGGATGCTTTGATCTCATCCAATCATAATGCATATTAAACATATATCTCCATTTAAAGCTGCAGTCCGTAACTTTTTTTGGTTAAAAATAATCCGAAATCAATATTTGAGCAAGTACATAACCAGCCAGTGTTCAAAACTATCGCCTTACTTTAGCCCGAGGTGTCCAACTATGTCCTCCAGATGCGTTGCAAAGAAGCCAGGACGTCTAAGAAGCTAAAATAACATTTCCTATCTCACACTTGTCTTGCACATACACACATACACACACACACACAAACACACACACACACACACACACACTCATATTTCCAAACTACACCTGCTTCCTCTCTACTGGTTGGTGTGCTTAGAGCAGGGGTGCCCAACGTCCGTCCTGGAGAGCCACAGTCCTGCAGAGGTCAGCTCCAACCCTAATCAAACACACCTGAACAAGCTAATCAAGATATAGGGTCTAGTAAAAAGCTAAAGGCAGGTGAGTTTTAATCAAGGTTGGAGCAGCAGGGGTGGCCAACGTCAGTCCTGGAGAGCCACAGTCCTGCAGAGGTCAGCTCCAACCCTAATCAAACACACCTGAACAAGCTAATCAAGATATAGGGTCTAGTAAAAAGCTAAAGGCAGGTGAGTTTTAATCAAGGTTGGAGCAAAACTCTCAGACCGTGGCTCTCCAGAGCCAACGTTGGCCACCCCTGGCTTAGAGCTTCACAAACCTTGGAGATGATGTGAATGGTCTCAGGAGAGAGGGTAGGAAAGCTGTGTCAGTCAGTCAAAGCCCTTACCACTGGTTGTCAGAAAAGGTTAGACTATTTTAGTTGTCTTATGGCTGTAGCAGAGTGACCACTGAGTTTCCCCAAAACATATTTATATTGCATTGTTTCAGTGGAAGCAAATTATTATGTTTGATATTAGCTGAATAGTGTATCTTGTGTAAAATCATCTGTGAAATGTCCACTGCTGTGTCAAAATTTTCAATTTTGCCTGGCATTTGGTCCTGTTCCTCATATAATGTGTATTGCATTCAGAAGACTTATGAATATAGTGAATGAGTACACTCTTATAAGCATCTTTCACATAGAGATTCCAGAAAATACACTGATATGTGTTCTGGGATCGTTGGATTCTGGTTCATTCTCCCTCCAGTGATTTTCTGCAATCTGTGCGTGTGTTCACACACATCCCGTAAAGATCTCGTAAAGACACGTGACATTGGGATGTGACATGTAATGTGATGTGTACCGTTCCACTAAGCTGGCGAACGATCTCATAGCATGGATGGTGAGGAGCTCCCTGGTCTTTGCTTCATTCCAGTTTGCAGACATTTTTTGTCGTGAACGTTGATCTGCATTTAAAAGAGTCGCACGATAATGTGTGTCATCACTACGACACACTCCTTATGGCATTGGTCCAGCCTTTTGTTCACACTGGGCGTGTTCCGGGACTGATTGGTTCCCAGGATGTGTTTGCATTCACACAGAAGGCACTCTGGACATTTTACGGGATCAACGCTCTGTGTGAAAGGGGCTTCAGAAATACAGATTCCAAAAGTGAATTTTCATAGCGATACCATAGAAGCATCATTTAGAGAATAGTTCTTAAAAAAAAAATGTTTCCTTTGTGTGAAGGACATTTTAATAGTATAAAAAAACGTTTTTCACTATAAAGAGACTTCTGTGCAGTGGAAATATTTGGAGAGAGGGTAGGAAAGCTGTGTCAGTCAGTCAAAGCCCTTACCACTGGTTGTCAGAAAAGGTTAGACTATTTTAGTTGTCTTATGGCTGTAGCAGAGTGACCACTGAGTTTCCCCAAAACATATATATATTGCATTGTTTCAGTGGAAGCAAATTATTATGTTTGATATTAGCTGAATAGTGTATCTTGTGTAAAATCATCTGTGAAATGTCCACTGCTGTGTCAAAATTTTCAATTTTGCCTGGCATTTGGTCCTGTTCCTCATATAATGTGTATTGCATTCAGAAGACTTATGAATATAGTGAATGAGTACACTCTTATAAGCATCTTTCACATAGAGATTCCAGAAAATACACTGATATGTGTTCTGGGATCGTTGGATTCTGGTTCATTCTCCCTCCAGTGATTTTCTGCAATCTGTGCGTGTGTTCACACACATCCCGTAAAGATCTCGTAAAGACACGTGACATTGGGATGTGACATGTAATGTGATGTGTACCGTTCCACTAAGCTGGCGAACGATCTCATAGCATGGATGGTGAGGAGCTCCCTGGTCTTTGCTTCATTCCAGTTTGCAGACATTTTTTGTCGTGAACGTTGATCTGCATTTAAAAGAGTCGCACGATAATGTGTGTCATCACTACGACACACTCCTTATGGCATTGGTCCAGCCTTTTGTTCACACTGGGCGTGTTCCGGGACTGATTGGTTCCCAGGATGTGTTTGCATTCACACAGAAGGCACTCTGGACATTTTACGGGATCAACGCTCTGTGTGAAAGGGGCTTCAGAAATACAGATTCCAAAAGTGAATTTTCATAGCGATACCATAGAAGCATCATTTAGAGAATAGTTCTTAAAAAAAAAATGTTTCCTTTGTGTGAAGGACATTTTAATAGTATAAAAAAACGTTTTTCACTATAAAGAGACTTCTGTGCAGTGGAAATATTTCATTGATATTCAAAGTTAATCCTGGAACCACAAATCCCATAAAGAACCTTTTTTTAAGAGTGTACATTGGACTCTTTTATTTAATTGAATTTATGTACATTAGATTCTTTTATGTAATAAATACAGTAAATGAATGCACTATAACTGACGTGACTAAGGGTTTTTTTTCTACCTCAGCAGATGGAGAGAGCCCTGCATCAGCCTCATCAGCTACTGTAAATCACATCAAGATTGAGCCAATCAGTACCATGGACCTTTAGGAGCAGTAATGGCAACTTGCTGTACCTCTCGCTCTGATTGGATAAAGTGAGTATGTTAAAAACTAAAGTGTTTTTGGAATTACTATAGTGCTTTCCCCCACATTGTTATTAAGTGAAGGGAAATTAAATTAAGGCTAATTAGAAAATTGAATTGAAGTTAATGCTTCATTATTTGATTTAAGAGAATGCTAATTTGTGAAGTTTCACATGAAGAACCCCACCCATTTTTGTACAATTAATTTAATTACACTGAATGAAGTTTTAACACTGTTGTATTTCTGTTTGTGTTTTAGCTTGTAGCATGCGTTCCCTACGTAAGACTGTGCTGTTAGCTCTGGTAGCATCAGTGGTGCTGGTTTTGGCAGTGCTACATTCCTGGCCCACGCGGGTCTACAGCACTGTGGATGTCCGGTACAGACCGGGTCCTGGAGCTGAGCGGTTGCTGGAGGAGAGACTTCCTGAACCAGATCCCAGTACTAGCACCATCCCTTACAGAGTGAGGGAGAGTGTGGCCAGGTCAGTTAGTCTTCAAAATATTAATGTTTTTCTATGAAACATCCGCTCAAGTAGAGGGAGACTGGGGATTTTGCTTTAACGCCTGCAACTCTTAACAACTACTTATCTCAACCGTTCAAAAATGTTTTTAAAAAAAAGTTTCGTCTACTCATCAAGGCTGTCTTTATTTGATGAAAAATATAGGAAAACAGTAATATTGTGAAATATCATTACAATTTAAAATAACTATTTTCTATTTTATTTTTTTTTTTATTTACTTAAATGTACTTATTGTTATAGCAAAGTAGATTTTTCAGCAGCCACTACTTCAGTTTTCAGTGTCACTTGATCCTTCAGAAATATTAACATTCTTATAATATCTTAAAGGGGTCATATGATGCTTTTTTAAAGATCATTATTTTGTGTATTTGGTGTAACAGAATATGTTGACATGCTTTAATGTTCAAAAAACACATTCTTTTTCAAATACTGTACATTATTGTAGGTCCTCTATGCCCCGCCTCTCTCAAACGCTTCGTTTTCTACAAAGCCCCCTCCTTCTTGAAATCGCATCATATGACCCCTTTAATGTTTTTGTGGAAACTGAATACATTTTTTGTCAGGATTCTCTGATAAATAGAAAGTTCAAAAGAACAACATTTATTTGAAATAGAAATCTTTTATAATATTGTAAATGTCTTTACTGTGATTTTTGATTGATTTAAATTGTCCTTGCTGTATACAATAATTAATTAACCTTAGTCATCTTAATGACCACAAACCTTTGAACTGTACTGTATGTGCTCCAAATTAAAGTTGTTCTGAAATCTACAACGTATCTTCTATCACTTTAAATTCTGTACATGAATTTATTTTGTTAACTCAGAAGTGAAATGTTGATGTCCTGTAAATCTTTTATGTATTTACATAAAACAGAGACCTACATTGTCTACTGTCAGTTTAGGAGGATGCAAAAGTTTTCCTTCTGTTCAAAGACTGACAGGTTGATCATGTGATAACTCTCCTCCTCTTCCGCAAGGCTTTTGGCTCGCAACGGCTGTGTTTGTGAAGGAGACAGCAGAGGGGTCAACCTGCCCTTTGCTCAGCTGTTGTTCCCTAGAGTGTCTGCCCATCCGCTGCACACTGCCTTCCAGGCCTCCCAGCTCCATGAGATGAAGAAACGGCGCGCCAAAGAGTATCAGAGCTTTCAAATGAGGTGCATTTAATTATTTTATGCCAGTGCAAATGTTCAGTTGTTTGGTTTATAAATCCATATACATGTTATCAAAAAAACTGTGTATATGACAGACTATGTCTGACCTTGCAAATAGTTATTTTTTATGGTTTTAGTTTTAGTTAACGATTGTAACCCTGGTGTGTATAGGTCGCAGACCCCTGCTGATCTGCTGATTGTAGCTGAAGCTACCAACCCTCTGCAGTACCCAACCCAGGGTGTGGAGGTTCGGCCACTTAAAACTATCCTCATACCAGGTAATACACTTTCTGTTCCTAGTAAGATTAATATATTGCCGTATGACTGAAGAACTGTGATGAGATTTAGCATTATAATACTAAATCTTTAAGCTAATATAATGAATAATATCGATAAAACCTGACTTTTTTGCAGCCCATGCTCATTGGAAATATGTCACTGTGGCTACATTTCTGCAAAACCTAAAATACATTGCTTCAGGTCCATTTTGCTGCACGTTTTTTAGATGATCCACAAGAGGCACTATAAGATATATCAGTTTTCTCAATTGCAGATGCAGGTTTATTCAACAGCACAGATTTTAATGCAAACGTTAAAATTTATTTGTTTATAGTCAAGTCACCTTTATTTATATAGCTCTTTATACAATACAGATTGTGTCAAAGCAGCTTCAAGGCAACAGTGTGCAGTCAAGGCAACATTGTTGCCAGAAATTGTGTCCCCAACTAAGCAAGCCAAAGGTGACAGTGGCAAGGAACTAAAACTCCATCGATGACAGAAATGGAGAAAAAACCTTGGGAGAAACCAGGCTCAGTCGGGGGGCCAGACGAAACCTGTTTATAAATCATGCACTACGGTAAAAATGTTCACATGATAGTAATGCAGTATTGTGCAAGGAACTGCACAAAAATAAGTCTTTATTCATTGATAATCTGCCCCCGTAATCATTATTTGAATGAAAAGGAACAAAAGTTATTGGTGTTTTTACTGCCACCAGTGTTCATGTGTCCTGGAAACTGCAGTGAAATGTGTGTACATTTCTTCAGAAATGTAGCCACAGTATTGTACTTCCAATGAGCCTGGGTTGCTTTTTTCAGATTGCAGTGATATATACAGTGACAGTGTGATATATGTTTGTGCATAATAATAATATGAAGCTTAAGACTGAGATCTGAAAAGAGCACATTGTTAAATTACTTAATGGACTGTGACTGTAATAGAAGGTAGCTGAGCGCATTTTCATTTAGTTATAGAGGCTGGACAGTACAATACATGCAGGGCCAGATTTATGCATAGCCAGGCACATGCCTATGCCCGCAAGTCCAGGGAGGGCCCAATTGAAAAAAAAAAAAACAGCTAAAAACAAAACCCCAAAAGACATTGACCAAGTAATAAAAAAAAAACAAAAGAATAAAAATGACTAACTTTTCCTACTCTCCATATCAACTGCTCAAGCCTCTGTTATAAGCTCTAAAATGACATTTTATAATGAGCAACAGGAAGCTTACGATTAGATAAATTAGTTTTACACACAATAGCGTTTTAAGGACAAAAACCTGACAAATGTCTTCAAATAAAACATGAACAATGTCTTGAAGTGTGTTAACCAAAGTATACACAGAATAATTGACTCCGGGCCATTGAATTATTAGAAAAATAATGCATTCCTATAATAATAATGTTATTCCTAACTTAATTAAACGGTCTTTCTCTGCTCTCAAATGAGTGACGAGCTACATTCGACCTTCAGTGGCTGAACGCAAGCGGAACGACTTTGTACTTCTTGTGATAGAGAACACTAATGGTTTCCATGGATTACAATTTATTTTTGTTTCCTGTTTTGGGGTGGTAATATTATATATTAATAGGGAAGGGGGGCCCCAAAATATCTTTTGCCTATGTCACGATAAGAGATAAATCTGGCCCTGAATACATGGCTGTAATGTGTTTCAGGTTTGGCCTTAAAAGAGCTGCCCCGAGATGTATATACTGTAAGTGATATTATGAATAATTTATGTCTATTTCCTGTGCTTTTGTGTTATGGATGCTTCCTGGACACTATGTTTTTCATCTTTCCTTGTAGCTGAACTTTTCAGCATCTCTGGGCACATTTAATGTGGCAGCAGAGGTGGAGGGGGTAAAGGTCAGGGGTGATGGCGAGATGCACATGACCCTGAGCAGCAGCCTTTTGTCCAGTCTGAATCGACAGCTCCAGTTTATCACATATACTAACACGTTGTTCCACCCCAGCACAGCTGACACAGGTAAGCTTCTGGGTAATTCCTGTAAAAAAAATAGTTATCCCAAATGTACATGTAAACTCAGGACTGGATAATCTTTATTTTGATATGTAGTTTTTATGTGCTTGTGATTCAGTGCAGTTAGACACAGAAGGACATCAAGCTCTGTTTACCATCAAGATCCGTCATGGAGTTACACCCAAACTCTACAACACAGGCTCTGATGCAGATAAAGGTAAGTACGTCAGTGTTGTCATTGTTAATTACAACTAAACCTATCAAAAATAGTTATTTGTTAATTGAAATTAAGATTAAATGAAATAAAATATAAATATTAGATGAAAACCTTAAAAAAATTAAATGAAAAAATGATAAATGTTACCCTGGCAGCTAACTAAAATAAATGAGTTTAATTTTAAGTACTGACATTTTTAAAACTAAAACTGAAATAAAAATAAGTTAAAGGGGTCATATGATGCTGCTAAAAAGAACATTATTTTGTGTATTTGGTGTAATGAAATGTGTTTATGCGGTTTAAAGTTAAAAAAACACATTATTTTCCGCATACTGTACATTATTGTTTCTCCTCTCTCT